ATATCCATGTAAGGCATAACATTTCTCTCGAGTATGGCCTATCCTCTTACAATATGTGCACTGAGGAGGCATACCACGGCCACCACGTCCTCCTCGGTTGCCTCTGCCTCCTCCTCTTCCTTGTGGTGCTACCATAGCTGATGTTTCAATACCACCAATTGAACTTTCATCTTTAACTAATGAAGGTACCCGAAGAAGTCGAGTAACTAAGCTGTCCATTGATGGAACTTGATCACCAGCCAACATTTGATCACGAACATGACCAAAATCTGAATGTAGACCTCTTAAAATCAAGACCATGTAAAACTTATCAAGCTTCTTGTTTAGGCCTTCTAAAGAATCAGCCACAAAGAAATTCTTCAATTCTTCTACAGCAGCACAGGCCGTTCCTATGTAAGTAACCATATCATGATTGTTCTGTTTGAGGGAAGTCACTCTTTGAGTTGCATCAAAGAGGCGTTGTACATCGTTAGCAAAGATATCTTGAGCTTTTCTCCAAAAGGAGGAGCACGTTTTGTAAGGTCTCAAAATTTCTAAGACTTCTGGTTCAACAGATTGCCATAGGACATCACATAGTTGAAAATCAAGCTTCTGCCATTGAGATTTCTCTTCTTCAGGAACGGTGGAAACATCTTGTTCAAGATGGTCATGGTGTCCTTGACCAAGAAACCATAACTCCACAGAAGAAGACCAAGATAGATAGTTTTTCTAATTGAGTTTTGTAGAAGTAATGGTTGGAGTAGCAGAGAGAGACGGTGTTCCAAGACCAGCCATTGTAAAACCAAACAAGAAAAGAGGAAAAAACCTAAACGGAGCAACCCTCAACGGAACAGAAAATCAGGGACCATAATACACTCAGGAGACGGAGGCGAAACGACCGGGAGTGGCGTGGTGAAGATCCGACACGGGAGAGGCGGCGCGTGAAGCCCACGCGCCCGAGAGAGACCACACAGAAACGGCGCGTGACGGCGCGTCGAGAGGAGGATGAGGCAGCGACCACCAGGGATGGGTCGCGCTCTTCGAGGCGCACCGAACCCTTAACTTCGCCTGAGAAAAGGCTGCGACGGCGATAGCGACGGCGGCGGACGGACGGCGTTAACGACGGTGGATGGTAGTGGGTGGCTAACTGCAAACCCTAACCTGCTCTGATACCATATTAAATTTGGGAGAGAAAATGTAGTGATAGAAGTATTATTCCATTGTGTCAAGTTTCTATTACACCAAATGTCCTATATAAGGAGCAAATAGACCAGCACACAAAAGCCCAAAACTAACAATATAGTTATACAATACAATATATTTCAACAAATTAAAAATATGTAATATGAAAGTTTATTTTATGGAAAGTAAAATGACTATTTTGAAAATGTAAGGAAACCACTAAGGAATTGTAGAGGTACAAGAGGTAAAAAGACTTACATGATCTTTAGTCATGATCCTTATTTTAGTGGGTGGGGTGTCTCACTCTACACTTGCAAACTTTAAGAAAATTTTTATTTCATTCCTAATTAAAAGTTGTTATATACACTTATAAAATTTCATATAAATAAAATTCCATATTTTTGGTCTTTTAAATTTGTATTCACATTATTTTTTTTTACACTCAAATATCAGCCAACGAATGAGATGAGAGAAGTTAAAGGGTATTGTTTTATCATAAGAATAATGCAGAGGGTAGGGAGAGAGAAGGTCCAGGGAAATTATAATTATAAATAAAACCCAGATTTATTAAAAAAATATTAGTTGAATGAAAAATAATTTCGAATATTTTATTGGGTCGTTGGTAACATAAAATCCTTTTAAAATCGTTTTGTTTTTCTCTCAAACTCGAGAATTTGTCTCTTTCAATCGGATTGATTCTCCCGACTACATCAGTAAAGTTGGAACCAATATAAAAGGCAAAGTAATTTTGACAAGAAAATTTAATTATATTTGATCGTAAGATGGAGGACGAACAATTCTTCAAACGAGTTGTGACCATCTTTGTTTACTGCGAAGCACAAAACAAAGCCAACCAACCTTCCATTCTCCAATCGTTCCTCAATTCTTCTTGAACATGGCTTCTCTTCCATTCCTTTCGCAAATTTCCCACTCTCTTTCCTTTCCGCAACATGGCCACTGCTTCCATAGGCACTTCCCCACCGCTCTCGCTGCTTCCTACCAATCTGGAGCCTCGTCTGGTGCGTTTTCTGGACACTCTATTTCTTCAATTCAATTCATATTAATGGAAACCGTTCAGCCAAGATTAGAAGAAGACGAAGTTTCATAAAGTAGACTGTTGGAATTTTCTTTTTTCTTTTACCTTTCAAGGAAAATTATCAATCCTATATATGTATCTATAAAAATATAACTGCTGTACATTTTTTACAAGATTAAGTTATAGAAGACTAAGAAGAAAAAGAAATTTTGATATTTTACTTTTTAAAAGTAGAGTTAATCTTCATGAAATTTCACCTTCTCGTATCCTTTTAACTCAAGGTTTCGTGGCTAGAAGGTTTCCATCACATATAGTTAAATTCACTATGCTAATCAATGTTGCTTTAGGAAACTCATGGGGCGTTGACATTGCAGATTCTAAATCTCAAGTATCTCGTGTTCCGGTTTTGACTTCCTCGGAGGTCTAATCTAATCTCTCTTTTCACTCTTTTTCTTTGTGCTTCGGGTCAGAGCCTGTTGTGACTGGAGAATATTATATGTTTGCTGTTTTTTTTTTCTTTTTTTTTTTATTGTTAACTGTATTGTTACTGAATATATATCAATTTTGTTCACTACTAATCTCTCTTCGAACTGTCTTAAAAAATAAATGGGATTACTATAAATCTTCAAACCGGTTGTCAGTGAGGATGAGGTTGATATAAATTATTTTGTAAGATGATATTTGGCGACTATCCTATATCCTGCATATGGGAATAGATGTGTGTGAATGATCTGATACTGATCTAACAGAGATGACATAATGCACGTACTTATATATTATAATTTTGTTATATTTCTAGTTAACGTGAGATATCTAATACAAGTGACATAAGTCCCAATTAATAACAAAATGTGTGTTCGAAAAAAGAGGGTTTGTTTTGATCAATTCAAGCTAGTCAAAGGTAGAAAAGTTATGATTGTGACAAAAAAAAAAGTGTATGTCTTAAGTAAAGATAATTATTTTTGAAACCAGAGTGAAATCAGAAAGGGAAAATAATTATTTTGAATATGTGATTTTAGTATTACTAACTATATCTTTTTTCGTATTTTCTTTTCTTCTTTTGAACGCACAAGGCCTATGAAAGGCTAAAATCATTTAGAGAAAAGATAAAGGGAAAGCAACAATTCCTTGCTATGTATTCTAGTATTTTTGATGGGATAACAACAGACCCAGCCGCTATGGTTATTCCTATGGATGACCACATGGTCCACAGGGGCCACGGTGTGTTTGATACTGCTGCAATAATGGACGGGTTAGTGATTTCCACTTCTCAATGACATTAACACTTTGTTTTCTATTTTCTAAAGCAGTCAAATGGTGTATTGTGTGCATTATAGATACCTATATGAGCTAGATCAACACCTTGATCGCTTTTTAGGTTCAGCATCCTTGTCTAAAATAGATCCCCCATTTGATCGTGGAAGCATAAGGAGAATACTGATACAAACTGTAAGTGCTTCCAAGTGTAGAAAAGGATCACTAAGATATTGGCTCTCTGCAGGACCTGGTGACTTTCAGTTATCTCCCTCTAACTGCCACCAATCAAGTCTTTATGCAATAGTAATACAGGATCTGTCATCATCGCTTAATTTCAGAGGAGTTAAAGTTGTTACTTCATCTGTTCCCATTAAACACCCCAAGTTTGCCATTACCAAGAGTGTGAATTATCTTCCAAATGTCCTCTCAAAGGTGGAAGCTGAAGAAGCTGGTGCTTTTGTAGGCATTTGGTTAGATGATGAAGGTTTTGTGGCAGAGGGGCCTAATATGAATGTGGCCTTTGTCACTAAAGAGAAAGAACTAATAATGCCTCACTTTGACAAAATTTTAAGTGGCTGCACAGCTAAGAGAGTTTTAACCCTTGCCGAGGGTTTGTTAAGGGAGGGTAAGCTTAAGGAGATAAGGGTGAAAAATGTGACCGTTGAAGAAGGTAAAGCAGCAGAAGAAATGATGCTTCTTGGCAGTGGAGTTCTTGTTTGCCCTGTAGTGCAGTGGGATGAACACGTTATTGGTGATGGTAAGTGCTTTTATTTCTCGCACAAAAGGTTATCCGATTTATTGTATGTTTGGAGGGAACTTCTATATAAGTACTTCTAAAAGAGTAAGAGAGAAAAAGGAAATTAGTTTCTCCACAAGTTAAAATGAAGTTATGCTTGAGTTAGAAATCAGACTTTGGAGAAGTGGATAGGAGGATAGGAAATTGCTTTTATAAATTAAGTCAAGCATACATGAATTTTGGAATGTGAAGAAGATTTTTCTTCTTATTTTTCCCTCTTAAAAGTATTTACGGAAAAGTTTCTCCAAACAGACCATTCATATATGCACTCAAGTAAATTATGTGTATGATTTTCTTTGGTCTACTCCAAGGCATCTGTTGATTGAATTAACAGGAACTTCTTACTGGAGTTCAGATGATTATATTATTCTTTTAGTGTTTTGTAATGATATGATTCTAAAGAGAAATGAAACTAAATTTGGGAAGTTAATGGTCAGAGATTGGAACCAATTGAAAACAAAGCAAAGAAACATAAAAAAAGGAAAGCGTTGCAAAAAGATTTGATAAAATTAAGGATGTTTGTCACACTAATTAGTGAATTCTAGGTAAGATTACAGGATTCTTGATAGAGATATTCTCAATGTTTTGTCAAAATCATTGGTTTTCAATTTCTGAATTTCAAAAAAATTAGTTATACGGTTTGACTCTGATAGGACTCCTAATAAGGATGGGCCTGTTAATCAACATGAAACAATTATAGAGGGAGCAAGGCCCAAAATATGGAAGGTTTACGTGAGAAGAAAGAAAATGGGGTTAGGAAAAGAAAGGGAAGTTAGTTAGAAAGGGGAATGACGTGTCAGGAATCCAGGGGAGGGGAATTCTGTTATAGGAGAGAGAATAGAGAGTGTGAAGGGAGGAGGGAGGAGAGGTGGTGAGTTGGTTAGGAGGAGAGTCATCCTCTGGTTAGGAGTGAGAGCACTCTGGGTTTTACTGGTGATTGTAGAGCTTTCAGCTCCATAACTTTTATTCTGCATAATACTTGAATAATATACCTGTGATATTCAGTTTTATTGTTGGGTTTCTATCATTGGTCCGACCTGCCGGATTCCCGAGAAGAGCTAGCATTGTTGTCCATGCCACCCAAAATGTCTGACCGAGTCGACGCATTGGAGGAAAGATTGTTAGCGATGGAAGTGTCTGTACGTGAGACGTTGGGGGAATTTCGCCAACTAATGTTGGAAGAGTTGACTAAGCTTCGTAACGAGCAAGCGGGAGAGCGTCGAGAATCTCCGTTTTCAGATATGGATTCAGGGGCAGAGTACAGGATGGCAGCAAAGAAGGTGGAATTGCCATCATTTGAGGGTACTGACCCTGTGGGATGGATTACCAGGGCAGAGACATATTTTGAAGTGCACGGCTCTACAGAAGAGGTGAAGGTCCGATTGGCAAAACTAAGCATGGAAGGGGCAACCATTCATT